TCAACCCCTGGCTCTGCTACAGGCCCTGCCCCTACTCCACCCCTTTCCACCCCCTCCCCTGAGCCTGCCATGCCCTCGCTCCTCCCCCTCCGCCCCAGAGCCTCCTGCACAATACAAAACAGCTGATCGGGAGGTGTGGGGAGGGAGGGGGAGGTGATGATTGGCAGGGTTACCAGTGGGCGGGAAGCACTGGGAGCAGGGGGGGGGGAGCTGAGGGGTGGCGCTGCTGACGTATTACTGTGGCTCTTTGGCAATGTACATTGGTAAATTCTGGCTCCTTCCCAGGCTCAGGTTGGCCACCCCTGCTCTAGAAATATCATTATAGAATATTAGAGTTGGAAGAGACCTCAAGAGGTCATCTAGTGCAACCTCTTGCTCAAAGCAGGACCAACCCCAACTAACCCTGTATCTTATTGAATGCGCCACATGAGAGACACTTTGGAGTTACTTTAACTTGTTAGCTGCTCCAGCATGGAATGTCTGTGCTGCCACGCGAGAAAATCCATTGCTTGCACACACAAAGTCTGAAAGAAACTTGTTTTGTAGGTTCTGTTGAAGTACTCTGAGAATGATATTGCCATGACAACACTGAATAGCCTTCATACACCAATATTTGCATCCTTCTTGGCATTTGCACAAATAGAGCCTGCAAGGGCGAGGTATTTTTTTTTTTTAAGTCATAAAATATCATCAGTTTGTTTAATCATCATGGTAAGAGCGGATGAGAAGATTTTGTGCTTGGGCTAGGGAATGTCCATGGTTGTTTTGTAACCTTTGGAGAAAAACTAGTTCCCATGTTTTAAGACGTCAGGACAAAGAGATAGAATGGAATTCAAATAAACTTGTTCCTTTCCAGTCTGATGCACAGAAGCTAATAACTGGAAAGAGATCTATTGGGCTATCCAGTCTGTCTTGCTGCCAAGCAAGATTGTTCCCTATCGTCAATTTGCAGCGTCCAGTCTCATTTCTAGAGGTTCTAAGTGATGGGCCTGCTACCAGTTCTGACTGAATTTGACCTGGGAGGGGGATCAATATTATTGACTAGCTCCAACCTGCCTTTTTGTTTTGGCAACCAATATCTCCCTGTTCTGATCAATTTAGACACTTACACACATTTAAAACAACTAATTTAAAAAAGAAGTCCTGGTTTTATCTGCATATGTGATTCATTTCCTCACAGCACAGTTCTGGCATTTAGACTTAAAAAACAAACAAAAACCCAGAAAAATTCTGCTTACACACAAGCATTTTCCATTACATTAAACAGTGAGCTCTCTCTAAAAATACAGGCCCCGAGTCTGCTAGCATTTGCTTTACAGTAGTGTACATAGAGTTAATCCTGATTTACTCCAGTTTGTGAGGCTGATCAGGAACACTATCATGAGACCGCTTGCAGACAATACTTCCAAACATCCCTTATCCATGGATGAAATGGGAGCAAATACGTTCTTCCCAAAGCTTTCCTGTCTTCTTCCATGAGCATCTTTTAGTATTCCCTTCCCTACTTCTTCAGATGAAGTCCAGCTTGTCTAAGAAAGAGTCCATGTTCACAAACACGAATACCGCTAATTGTGTATTATTGGTCCAAGAAAGCCCAGCTCATCAATTAGCACTGCTTGGCTTGTTGAAAGCCACATTGATAATTCTTGTATGAAAGGCACTTGGGCTGCAGCACATCAAGAAGCATATGAGCTGCATAGAATGGGGAGGAAGGGCCTCTTAGAGGCAGCCAGAGGGCAATGTCTTATTAAAAAATGAATCATGATACTATTTGTGTCTCCCCTTCCTAGATCATTGCAGTACTGCAAGGCCTGCTGAGAAACCATGTGCACAAGAACCCATGCCCAGATTCACCACTTGATTTCTGCAGGAGCTTGGTACATTATCTTCTCCCATGGCCAGCAATGGAGTGTCTCTTTCTGAACTCGGTTCTCTGTGTAGCTGGCTAAATACAAACGATTCTCCCCAACCTGCAATCAGATTAATTTGCACAGCACTAAGCAGAGTAGGGTCCCACTCATGACTGGGGGCTCAGGATGTAACCATAAAGCAAAGAATCGTTCGTGAAAAGTTTTACAAGTCACAGTACACAGATGAGTTTGCTGTGTTCCGTGGCATCCTATGTCTTATTCACAAGGATTGTTACAACAAGCAGGGATCTGAGAAAATGTTCACAAATCCCCACAGTTCTGGGGGGCTTAGAGTTTCACACTCAGTGGAGATCAGAAACAATTGTGTGTGACCTAAGTGACCAGTCACATGTTACAGCTAATGAGTCACTAAAGTGAACAATTCATGAGCACCCCATAGGCTGAATTTAATTAATCAAATTATTAAGTGAAAATTATAATTCATGATATTTGCAGGAGTTGGGATCACTTGATGAATGATTCTTGAATAGAAAAGAGTAAAATTGGTGCATCATTTGTAATGGATAATTCAACCAACTTTACTCCCCCAGGGCAAGGTTCTCCTATTATCCTGGCATGCTATTTACATGAGGATATGTTGTGATGGGATGTATTAAAGCTGTAATGCAAACCCCATCCTCTTGCTCTATGAACATCACCACAAGGCAGCTTCTTTGCACCACGACACCACACTCCAGCAAAGGGCTTGTGCCTCCGCCTGGGCTCTCACCCAGGAAACTTTGACAGGCCAGATTTTCGAACATGCAGTTGCATGCAAATGCACACTCTACACATCCAAATTTGAGTTGATTTTGTACAGAAGTGCCCACTTGAATGGGCAGACAGAGGGTTGGTGCATGCAAAACTAACAGTACAGGTAATAACTTGGAGCAAATCCAGCCCCCTCTTCTGTGATTGTGGGGAAGTGGTGTGGTTCTGCTGAACATAACAGGACAAGCTAAGACCCCATCAGTCATAGTTCTGAGTCCTCTGTGCTCAATGTACTTTGTGTTCACTTTAAGTACAGTGTGTCAATAATAACAGAGAGAGAGGCAAGAGGAATTCCATCACAGCTTCTTTTTAATCAGATTTTTTTTTGTTATAATTCCGTTCCCCGAGGAAGGCTCACATCAGATGCAGCTTCTGCGTTTCAGCAAAGTTCCTGCTTTTTGTTTGTTTGTTTTAAACTCAACTTTCCAGCTGGGTTGATAAGGAAATCAAGTAACTTTGCCCAAAGTCATACAACAAGTCAATGACCCAGCAGCAACAAGAACTCAGGAGCCTTCTGCTTCTTCCAAGTCCCTTTTCTCTAAGCATCAGCCTAGACTGCCTCCTGTTTCATCTCTGTTACCTATGATCACAGCACACTGTCTCCCAGTGCAGGTGGTTGCGGTTGTTCGACAGTGTATTAGAGCACAGGTGTGTCACGGCATGCTAGGAACTCTTCTCCTCTGTTTGTACAGGATTGAAGTGACTCCTTACCAGCAATGTAGAGCCATATCGCGGCTTTAGCAGTACATGGTAAAAATCATCCACTGGGAGAATGAAGAAAATGCATTTAGATAGTTACAGGAAATCTAAGTAGTAGATGCATAATAACTTAGAACGTAAATACTGGAGCACAGCAATTCTCATGCTGTGGTCCATGGGGAAGAGGCCGGTGACATAATGCTGATGCATTTTCCTTGTTTCCGGCTGCTAAACTGCACTAAATAATTTCCTAATGTTACTCTTCTACGTCAGTAACTGCCAAGGATGGTGGGTGACGGCAAGTGGAAGAGGAGGTGATCTGCATGGTGGCTAATCAGAGCATAGATAGCTCTAACATGTGATCATCTTGTGGACCATGCAACAATGGAAGCTGTGAACCCCTGCTGAGGCACTCTTATTAGTCATTTGTACTGTGCAGGGAAGATGTAATTAACTAAGAGCCATGCTACTGAGCTACCCAAATTGGGGCCAGGTAGTTTTTAGGGGACAGTTCAAATAAGATTTGGGCAACTTCATAAAAGAAAAATATGACAGCGTTCTACAGTAATAGTTCCAGAGAGTCTGGGGAAGATGCAGTGTTCTGGATTATTACTGTAGCATACGGCAGTGTTTTTAAAATGAGATAAGTTTGGTACAGCCTACTTTAGTGAGCTACCCCTCTGGTGGTGCTTTAAAGACAAAAAGCAAAGGTGCCCATTTGTCTTCTGTTTCTTTCTTTAAACCCAGTCATGGTCACACTCCTACGATGACAGATAAACATTGGGAAAAGAGGGTGTGCCTTGACTGCATTGAAAACTGCGTGTAACTCCACTGGAGTTATGTCCACAAAAGACTGGTGTCAGTGAGAGGAGAAAACACTATATGCATAGGGCAAGATCCTCAGCTGATCTAAGTCTGCCTAGCTCCATGTAAGTTAATGGAGCTATGTTCTTTGTACTCCAGGAAGATCAGAGGTGTCAGAAAGGAGGGAGTTGCCACTTAGTCTTGTGTATGCTTTAATCTAGGGTATGTCAGCATCACAGTCACACTTCTGACTGCAGCATATAGACCTAGCTAGCTCATGTACCAATTGCAGCGAAGCTATGGCCACACGGAGTTCAGTAGGGGCTGTACTAGCCTGCCCAGAGCCCCAAGTATGTACTTCTAGCCCATGCTGCTGTGGCTTCACTATTATTGGTACCCAAGCTAGCTAGATCAAAGCTAGCTCATGTATGTCTACATGCTGCAGCCGCACCTGTGACTGCAGTGCAAGTGTAAGAGACCTCCTTAGAGTGAAACCCTGGCCCCGTTGAAGTCAATGGGAGTTTTTCCATTGACTTCCAGTGGGGCCAGGATTTCACCCTGAATGCACAGTTACCCTGCGTAAGAAGATCTTCCACACCCCTTGTACTAGCTGTTTTGAAAGTGATTCAGTGACCAAGGCACTAGTAATGATCCCACTTTGGATCTGAGGAGGAGAACAAGAATCTATTAAGGCAGCAAAGGGCACAAACACAATGAGGGCTCCTCACCTCTGTTGCAGTGAAGCAAATCTTTCCATCCTTTGATAAACTGCGAAATACACCTAGGGAGAACAAAGACAGCTTCACTTCAATAGGAAGAGGTGGGAGGAGCTTGTAACATATAAGAACAAAGTTGTTTCCATTCTGGAACAGCCCAGTTTCATCTAGTCCAGTATTCTGTTTCCTTCACTGGCTGATACCTGAAGATTCACAGGGAGACCAGATGTCGCAGTTTTATAGGGACAATCCCAATATTCAGGGCTTTGTCTTATGTAGGTGCCTATTACCCCCCACCCCCTGTGCTGATTTTTCACACCTGCTGTCCGGTCATCCTAGGTATGACACATACATAATACATCTCACAATGGGGTGGGAGGGAAATCCTCCCCCCCCATACCATCCACTGGCTACTGGTGATCACGGTATTCTCTGAAGCAACTCACATGTGACCATTAAGTCCTGCACACTTATCAAGTAGTAACTGCAGGTGCTGTATCGATTCATGTAGTTGTCAAAACTAAAGGTGGTCAAAAAATTTCCAACAAAAGGTTTGGCTGTAGGAAAATGTTGATTCATCAACATCTAATGGTTCCATGGGAACATGGTATTTTTGGTGAAATATTGTTTTAAAAAAGATCAAAGGCTGAAATGTAACATTGATTTTTTTCATTTTGAAACTGTATTTTGTATTAAAATAAAGTTGAAGTGGAACATTTCAATTGACCAGAACATTTTTTTAAAAATTGCCACTTTGTTCAGATTCAAAATGAAAACAAACTTTAAAATCCTGGTATTTCCTACAACAGGTCTACTTCCTGCCCAACTGTAACCAAAACATCTTTTGACACCCCCCCCCCACCCCCCACCCAAAAAAAAAGCTCAAGGCTTCTGGAATCATAGAAATGTAGGGCTAGAAAGTACCACAAAAGGGCATCTCCAGCAAAGACAATGAATTCCCTACCCTGTCAGGCAGCCAGTGCCATTAGGCTGCACTGTCCTTAACCTGTAGTTCTAAGGCTATTGTGATACGTGGTTGATGCAGTGTAAGCCCATATTTTCCATGGTCCGAGATCCTCACAGGGCTCTAGTTAGCGAGGAGCATGACTTACTTGCCATGGTTTTGAGCCGGATCATGCAGCACACAAAATCAGGGAAACAGATTCTCATGGAGGAATCGCTGTACCTTAGAGCCGTCACATGGAGGAGCTGGTCATCAACAGCCAGGCCTATGCACAAGAGGCATAAAGAGCAGTGAACATGATAGCAACCGGAAGAAGCAAGGTCCAGCCAGCCTCTGAAATGGCAGGGAACTGTGCCTGTTACGTATGCCCAGTTTATACACCTACCAAGTGACCCATCCCTGCTTAATGTCCCCTAAGATGGTAGCTCCCTCCTTGAGGGCCCTCACAAATAAAATCCAGTCAAAATTCCTTCCCAGCCTCAAGTCTGGAGATCACTTTCACTTTGTACGTGCGAGCAAGAATCACAGTAGTACAGCAACTAATCCCATTCCCCTTTGTTAATCCATCGCAGGCAGTGGACATGTAAAGAGTGTTCTGATTAAAGCCTTAAATGCGAAGGACCTGGCTACACTCCTTGAGCCCAGACTTGTTGAAATCTGCCCTCAAGACTTCTAGGCACTGTCTAAGGCTCCAACCATCCCATCTTAAACTGGTAAGTGGTCAGGAGTTTGGTGTGGGCAGTCCTGAGGTATGGCATGTACTTGCCCCTGAAACCCATCTCTGTCAATGTCTCCCCATCCTTCAAAAATACCCTTATCCTTTTAATTGCAAAGGCCTGCATGAGTGTATTCACTTGTTGGCCCTAGAGGGGTTGCCTTTCCTTACTCCCTGCCCTCTGCTCTTTCTTTACCCTTTTGCTCAGATCCCTTTGGCTGGGTTTGTCAAAGCTTTAAGAGGGTGGCTTTTCATCTTAACTGGTTGGAAATTATTCCATCACGGAGCATCCCAAGCACTTCATCAGGTTGATGCTCATGAAGAGCTGGGACCAGTTCCTCATCTGGTGTAGAAGAGCACTGAGCTGTGCGGATTTACACCAGCTGAGGATCTGGCTTATTATCCTTCTAAACATTAAGGCCTCAATTAAGGTTATTCAGCAAAGCAGGAGCTTAGTGATGGACTCCAGTAAAATGTTTCAATACACGCTTAATTGAGGCCTATATTTAGCAGCATTCTTGGGGTTAATTAGGCCCTTGTATGCTATTGCTGGCTCTGATTATTCTCCTTTCTCTCCCCACCTCCCCAGGTAAGAAAACCTATGCAGGGGGCGAGGGAGGCAGTCTCTTGAGGAGAAGAATCTGGCCTGTGCTGTATGGTGTGGGAGGAGGCAAGGTGCTGTGTGTGTGTGTGTCTGTCTCTCTCCTTCAAAAACTGCCAGAGGATACAATGTGCTGAATTTGCCATTTTTTAATATTCCTTGTTTATCCCTTCAGTATCCGCATGTGTGCAATCTTCGTCTATATTTTACACTGTTGTGCCTTTATTACAATAACGATACATTTCAGATCCCTGAACTCAGAGCTGCTTGCTACACCCTGATGACGCCTCAGGAATTTCAGTCTCTAGAGGCCATGTTATATCTTCCTCCTGAAAAAAATCCACCAACTTTGTGGCTTCCGTTGATTACGTTTTGCCTAGAGTTCCCCATAGGGGAAACATTTATATTCTACTGGCAAATGCAACTTAAAAAGCCATTTAGCTAAATGGAAGGATCTCTAATGCAGATTTGTTGGACTGGCGCTTCCTCTGGGATATCCTATCGCATATACAAAATGTAACCAGATATAACTAGACAAATTCAATCACGCAACAGAAACTGGATTGCTTGCTTAAAATTGCAGCACTAGTCTAGCCAACAGAGGTCAGTGCAAACTAAATAAAAGGTCTTTCAATGCCGCTTTCTCCTATACAACCAGTCACGGCCCTGGAGAGAGATTGAATGAACTAACCGGGTAGTGGCTGTTCAAACTTCCTTGCTCCTTTCCCCTACGAGGTGTTTCATCCCTGATCAAGAGAGAGCACCTCAGAGAGTGAAATGGAAATTAACTCTTTCTTTGGCCCCTTTGCTGAGCGTTATTGGCCTTCCCACCACTTGGCAAATATCCATCATCAGCACCAACTCAGCAATGCTCCACTCCATTCCTGTGCTACAGGACCACTCAGCAGGGGAAATGGCTTCTTCCTGAAACATTCGCTTTGGCTTGGTTACACGGGGAATGGCTAGTGATCGCTTTGTCCTTGTGAGATGCGTTACTCGCGGATAGGAGCCGGAGCTCACTAGATCTTCCATACAATCCCTCCACCCTCATCTTTCCACCACTCTCCTAATAGCACAGCTGAACATACCTGCTCTCTGTACTGCATTCCTCAAATCGGAGACATCCAGGAATCCGGAATCGGTTCCCTCTACCCTCCTGAAAATGTCCTGGAAACCATTTTGAAAGAGTTCAGCTGCTTACTTTTAAGCCAACGTCAGTGGACCAAACTTGTGCTATGACCTAGCATGTTGACCACTTGCCAATGCATTTCACTTTCTCCTTAATGAATTAGCTTAGTGGAAACTCAGTGCAACGTCAGATAGGGGGACTAGAATAAGAAAGACCACTTTCCAGAAAGAACAGCTGGGTGATCCTTGCTCCTGGACTGAGGGGGCTTACTGATGGGGGGGGGCAGTGAGGGATTGATGTTAATGCTCCTTCAGAGCATTGGCCTGGCTTAGTGCACTGAGACAAGGGGAGAAAGAAGACAGAGGGGAGCAGTGATCACCTTGGGATATCCCCCTGCCAACAAAGGCACTGATGTGGAAGTGCAGGGTAAACATGTCTGAAGGGTTATAGAGTTGTGACCTTTCGTGTATATCCCCTGCGCTGTTTTACTTATTCAGACCAAAGCTTGTATCTCCATGACTCTGCCAACAGAAAGAGCCCATCAATAATGACTCATCTGAAAGAAGAGTTGCAGAACTCATTTCTATGGCACTAGGTGGAATGACATCCTCCAGTACACTCCATATTCTAAATACAATAGGCTATGTACTCAGCTCCATTGACTTTAATAGGGCTATGCCCACTTATACAACAGATGAGGATCTGGCCCAGTATGTTTAACTTGGGAAAAACCATCCTGTGAGATACTAACCAGGTAGGATGTAAATGGCAAGCATGGAGAACAGTTGTTCAGGATAGCCCAAACAGATCTAATAGGTGAAACCAAGGAACATTGACTGTACCAGAATATTTTTCCTAATTCTGGGGTCCCTTTCTCTGTCCTAGAGTCTCTTAAAGGAAGTGGGGGAGGGGGAGAAGGAGCCCTGTTGCAGTATTTGCATTATTTAGAGAAGATAATGGAAAACCAAAGTCTGTATTGGCCAGGGAGCATGGCCTTTCCATTGATTGTATTATCCGGTGCAATGTGACTGGCTGCCATGAAATAGGGCAATAGCCTTTCACAGAAACATGTGGTGGATAATAGGATGACAAATAGGTAATCCAATCTAAGTGCTTGTACTCTTCAGGAATACTCACCATCTTGCCACTGCATATGAGCAACCACCGTCCCATTGACCTGTGGGATTATTCCTGGGTATGTAAGTGCAGGACTGGGACCTAACACCTTCTCTAACCTATTCCTCAGGATCTGCCATAAGAGCAGAGCACTTAATCCTTGGCAGACCTGTTCTTACCATTCAGAACATTTGATGGGGTCTTCTCAATCCAATATTTGAGCTCCCTACTTTAGAATGATAAGCCAGGTGCTTTATCATCCGAGCCTTTGTTGTGGTCTTTCCCCTGCACTATTTTAATTTCATAGTGTCTGCATCCCCTTGATTAAAAATGCAGCACTAGCTAAGAAAATGTACCTTGTACTGAGCAAGGAGTTTCCAGAGGTGCTTAAATTCTTGCAGGGAGAGTCTTCCATTAGACTTGAGCTGCATGTGTGGTTAAGGCTTAAACGTTTAGTGGCAGCTAATCTTGGGTTTCCTAGGAGCAGGATGCCATTTAGGCCGTGGCTTGCCTCACCGAAAACCAGATGCAGGAGCCCCCCCATGGGAAAAGAGCCCTGCTAAAGGTATCCTGCTGCCATGAAGGTTGGAATGTCAGGCTTTAAGCTGGGGAAGGCTAAGGTATTCCTTGCTCCGAGCAGGGGTCTGAGAGCTATAGAATGCACAAAATAAATGCAACAAACTGTAAATATAACGGAGGGCCATTAACCAGCAAAGTTATATAGTGCCTTTCGCAGCAACAGATCATGAGGCCGTGGCCCTGTGGAAATGCAGCCACCTTTGGGGAGGGGTAAAAGCTGCTTGGGGCCCACAGGGCATTACCTGTAGCTAGATTCTGGGTATGTCTACACTGCAACTGAACTTGATTGTAGCACAGGTAGGCACATCTGTGCTGGCTTTAATGTAGCCAGCACTGATAGCAGTAGATGTGGCGGCATAGGTACTTAGGTGGCTAGTCCATGCTGCCACATCTACACTGTTAGCATGGGTAACAAGAGCTAGATTAGAGCTAACTTGGGTATGCCTCCCTATCTCGTCTCTAAACATACTGGGGAAGTGAACAGGCTTGAGGTGGGAGGGGAGGATAGCGCCTCCTCAGCATAAGGTGTAGAGTAGTCATAGCCCCATTAGTGGTATTAGCCCCCAAGATCTCCATGGACCTCCCGTCTGTTGCACCCTGCTCCTACACTGGCACAAGGCCTTTAGATTAATGCTGACCGCAGGCAGGCTCAAACCCGGGACCACTGGAGCTTAGTGCCTGAGCCTCTAGTGCAGGAGCTAAAAGCCAGCTGGCTGTTAGCTAAGGCTGTAGAGCAGACTCATCAATCAATCCATCTCCCTCTGCCACTAGCTAGGGCAGAACACCACACCCAGAAGGTGTGGGGGGTTACACACACAGCATCTCCCTGAAGGAGGTGTAATATCTGACCCTGCGTGTCCTCCCACAGTGCTCTGTTCTCTGCAGGTGAGGCTGCCTCTGGCCTCTGCCTCTCTCACAGCACCATGGCTGTGGCTGCCACAGCCCTGAGAAAGCAAAGCCCCCTTACAGTGAAATAAGAGTAAGAGGGTGGTGCTGCCGTCAAACTTGGCTGAAAGAGGCTGCTCTGGTCCTTAAAGGCCAGTATAGGTCACACTGTATAGGGGATGGGTACCAATGTAGTGAATGAAAAAAATCCATCTTGAATAAAAATGGAATGGGGTGGGGGGAAGTGGCTGTGTCAGCACCCTCCATGTGTCCTGCATTCCGTGCCTGTTTAGACGGCAAGAGGGTGCAGTAACAGGAAAGCTGGAAAGACCACAACTGGCTGCTGGTCATTTTTATTCATTTGCTGCTATCTGTAATGGTCTGGCACCGTCTCAGAGTTATTCCAAGGCCTGGAACAAAAAGACAGCACGAGAGCATGCAGCGGGGAGAATTTATGTTTTCATCAAGGAGCGCTCTTGTTTTACAATGGCCAGCAATGCATTTCCAGTGTTGTCTTGTTAACCGTTGGAGGACTATGCCATCCATCTAACTAGAAGAGGTAGACACCAAAGGATGAATAGTTTGCCAGGCGTTCGCCTGTGATTCAGCAGTGACACATTGCTGCTGGCCGCTCCAGCCCTGGCTGATGTCAGGGGAAAGGCAATCATAGCTTCATTGTTCTTGACATAAACTTAGAGCAGCGGGCTTGGAGTTCCAGTTCACAGGCAAGCCCAGGTTGGCAGCCTTAGAGGAAGGATGGGAAGAAGTAGTGTTAGGTTGAGCTATACAGTGGATCTTACTGAATCCCAGCATAGTCCTGTGTGAAGCTGTGCAATGTCCAGGACTGGGGCCCAGGCTTGTTAACCACAGTGCATGGAGAGTTCAGAAGAAGGGGACTATGTAATTAATAGAATAGGTTTTAAAGTAACTAGGGAAGGGCCTATAGCTCCCAGCGAGCTCCTGACAGCAGATTCTACCCCCCGAGGGAGTGCACATAGCAAAGCCCTGCATACATTGTGGGGAAATTATTTGATGCGTGTGGCCAATACTTATTTGCAGGTTGTCCCAGGGGGAAGCTCAGCTGAGCCATAACTGAAAGAAAGGATAGGCTGCACCGGGGCGGGGGGGTGGGGGGGAGTTTAGTGCCTTTGCTGAAAGGATACATCCATCAGAGCTAAAATGCCTCTGCATGACTCAAAGCAGAATCCTCCGCCCGGGCTGGCCAGACGATCTATAAGAATTAATAAAACAAAAGTGATCAGACAAAGAACAAAAGGCGCCATGGGATAGGTCTCTACCTCCAGAGAGCAGGGCTCCAACCAGGTCACTGTTGGGAGGTGGATCTTAGTCTAGCCCCGAGTGGTTCATATCCCTAAGGGTGAGATGGGGGGGAGTGGGGTGTGTGTGTGTGTGTGTGTGTGTGTGTGTGTGTGTGTGTGTGTGTGTGTGTGTGTGTGTGTGTGTGTGTGTGTGTGTGTGTCGTGT